CAGCGCCGGCTGCTGAGCTTGGCCCGCTTGGCCCCCTCATCCTTGCACGCAGCTCGCAGGCCCGCCGGTCTCGGTCGGTGCTCCAGCCTTCCCTGGGCTGTTCTCGGTCCAGTGGTGGGATCTGCTTCGTTTTCTCTTCACCGCCTGCTGCAGCCCCTGGCTGCTCCCCCCAGCTCCAGCCCAGCGCAGTTCAGTACAGCCTGTGCCGGCGCTACCCTTCCCCACCCCGGCGTTATCCCCTGCCGACGCTGGCAGCTCTGACAGGCCCGGTTTCCTCTCCCCCAGTCGGGCCGGGGCTCCTCCTCCTCCTTCCGTGCATTGCGGCCTTCATTTGCATGCAGCGTGTCCCCATTTTGCCATCCCGCCGGAGCAGTCGACCTTTTGCCCAGCCGCCGACGCAAAAAAACGTGTATGTATGTCTCTGTATTGCTCTATTGTCCCCCGTCCACCTGTATTACATACATGTGTACACGCACGCACAATGCAAACGTATACATATGTGGGTTGATCACAGTCGAGCTCTCTCTAGAGCAGTATATAACTACACGCTGATGTGCGTATGTGCTTCAATGTCCGTCTTTTTGCATATAGATACGACTCTAAACAACTCGTACGCATGCCCCTACATAGCGTTATCCATGTATGTATATATACATACATACATACATACATACATACATACATACATACATACATACATACATACATACATACATACATACATACATACATATACATGCATATAATCGGTATATCGCTCTGTCTCCCTGGCTAACTCTCCATATATATACATATATACGTATATAGATGGAGATCGCCCTCTCTCTCCCTCGTTCATCTATCAGTTGTGTTATCCCTCTCCCTCTTTCTCATGCATAGATACAGCTACGCGGGCGAATCTATAAATATATGTATACACATACATACATACATATGCATAAACATATACATACATATACACATATATAGTGGCATGTATGTATGTGTACGTGCGGGTAGAGTTGTGTACATATGAGTTTCTTTTTCTCAGCTATGTGTACAGGCATTGCTCTTTATGCGTATATATATTGATGTCCTTGTATCGCTATAATTCTATAATAAACTAGTATATATACACGCTAATCGTAATATGTGTGTGTCTTTCTTTCTCGCTCTCCATGCATGTTTATCACATGTTTTCTATCGCGCTTCCCAGATGCCATCGGATTTGGAGAGGAAGATGCGCGAGGAGATGGAGCTGCGGTCGATGATCGTTCACGCTCTCTCTCTCTCTCTCACACTCTATCTCTATTTCGCTCTCTCTCTCTCTCTCTCTCTCTCTACATCTACTATACATTATGTATATAGATGTATGTATGTGAACACCTGCATTCGCAGGCACTTGAAACAAAGCGTCACTGTATCGAAGCGCCTCAGCGTACGCTGGGGAAGCAGAACCGATACGACTGCGGATGTTCCATCTGTCCTCTCTCCTCGCTTCGTTCCTCCTCGATGTATGTTTCTTCCTCACGCTGATGTAGGTGGTACTGTCGCAACTGACGCAGTTTATGTTGATTGGTGTTCGGACTCGCCACCGTCCTCTTATCATGATTGTACTCGTGTTCCGTTTCCTTGTCCTCTTTCTGATGTCATATTCTCGTCTTCTTTTATTGAATCGCTTCGCTCATTCCGCCGGCCCATTTCGCATGACTGAGCCTCTTGGGGCCGCTGGGGGGCCTCTTCAGCGTCGCTTGGGGGCCTCCTGAGGGCCTCTTGGGGGCTTTGGGGGCCTCTCAGGGGCCTCTTGAGGCCTCCTCGGGGCTTCTTAAGGTCGAGGGCTCGAAGTTTTGTTTTGTGTTCCCCCTTTGGGGCATCGCTTGGGGCCCTCTTGGGCCCCTCTTGGGCCGTCTTGGATGCCTCTGGGGCCGTCTTGGAGCCCTCTTGGGCCATCTTGGGGCCTTCTTGGGAGCTTCTTGGGCCCTCTTGGGGCGATCTTGGGGGCCTCTTGGGCCGTCTTGGGGCGTCGGGAAGCCGAAAAGATGGACACGCCAAAATCTGCCCAAAACCTAAGGAAAAGTAATGAAGTTTGCCTCTTGGGGCCCTCTGGGGAGTGCTCTTGGAGGCCTCTTGGGGCGTCTGGGGGCCATCTTGGGCGTCTTGGAACGATCGTGTGGCATCTCGGAGCACTCTTGAACCATCTTGGAGGGCTCTTGGCGGCCTCGTGGCCCTTCTTGGGGCTCTCTGGAGGGCCACGGGGGCGGCGCCCAGCAGGAAAACCATCTCTGACCCGACCCTGCCGGGGATCGCCCGGGGTACTTTTCGTCCGGGGACCCCCAGGCGCCGCCCCGCGCGCGCGAAGTTGAAGTATTATTTAGCAGTTACCGGAGATCTTAGCACGCCTCTGGCCCGTTGGGCCGGCGAATTTTCTTGGGCAGCGTGGGCTTTACACCATCCCTGGACCTCTCCAACCTATTTTCGTCTCCCGTTCGAAACCGAATGCTGGAAGCCAAAGTTCAGGTGG